GGACGCTGTTGACAAGGGGGGAGGCGTGGAGCGTGTGGGGATCCCGGGATGTTTGGGAGGGGCTGGGGACGTTTAGGAGGGATCCTGCGGTATCTTGAAGGAGAGAGGTGAGTTTAGGGGAACAGAACAAGATGAGGGATGAGATACGGAATGAGGGGCAGGGAACGGAGCAGCCTGGGGTTGCTAAGGCAGATGGGGCAACGCAGGTGAGCACAGGGGAACCTCTGAGGCATGGGGTGAGAGAAGAGTGGGGCCAGAGGCACTCGGAGCACAGGAAGCTGGAGGAGGGCAGGGGTATGGATGAGTGTGGCAGGACTCCCTGTTCCTGCCCTGGAAGGTGAGGCCAGTGAGCACTGGGCACAGATAAGCCCTTGTTATGAGCCTCAGTTCACCTGTGACACATGTGGCTCCTGTCACCCTCCCTCTGCTCTCAGCCCTTGTCAGCAGCATGACTGTACAGGGAGGAATGGGTGTGCATGGGGTCAGCAGGTGACCTGGGCTTTGGGGAGATGGTGTGGGAGGGAAGTGCTGCATCTCACCAGGAATGCCGGATTGCACATCCCATTGTTAAATGCACTTACTGCAGGACTGAATTCCAGCAGGAAAGGTAAATGCCCATTGAAGTGGGGAGATGAGTGTTTTCTTTAGAGCAGGCATGCCAGAATGATTCCAGCCCTTCAGTGACTGAGCCTTAACTTGTAGGTTGTTGCTGTGGAGGACTTGGCCGCCTTCAAAGGCCTTCTAGGCAAGTCTGGGGTGTCTTTAGGTTTGCACTTCTTGCTTGGCTTGGTTTTTGATCACAGCTTAGGTGTATCTTCCAACGAAGGATCTGGGTGCATCTTTCCTTGTACCTGATTTCCAGTATCCACAACTTATTTCCTGATGTGTTTCCTTTAGCTGTGCAAGTTACAGGTTGGTAAACCCAGTTGTGTGAGATGTCCTCTCCTGTGTTTGTTTGTTGGACAAATACACCTCTGCCCTGACCTGCCTTCACCTCCTCATCCAGAGCAGACTCCTCCAGTCACCAGTGCTGAATCACGCCTGCTGCCAGTCATCCAGTGCTCAGACTCCTCTATTTGTGAGGACAAAAACCTAGTGGCATCTGGGGATGCCTTAACTAGAAGATACCTCCTAGTAATAGCAAATTATCCTCATCCAGATGGGGATAAGAAACACACTTTGATATCTGAGTCCCTAGTGAAGATGAATTCAGTCTCACCACTAGAGACTGAGCCTAGGGGAGGCAGGGATCCCAAACCACGGAGGTTTAATGTTCTTTGGGGAAGTGTTAATAGAATGTTCTGTCCTCTTTTAACAGCAAAACCAACACAATATGCAAGAAGTGTGCTCAGAACGTGAAGCTCTACGGCACAGTAAGTGAGCAGCAGCCTCTGTTCCTTTCATCTTCCTCAGCTCTATCCTGCTGGCTCCCAGAGCAGTTCTTGGACTGCTCTGTTGTAATAGTGTGACTGGTCAATAACATGCAGGTCCCTCAAGTGTGAAGCTTTTACCTTTTCTCTCGTTTTAGCACAGAAAAGAGCAGCTCTGCATCATTTGAGGCCAGGAAATGAACTATGGGCTGGATAGTGATAGAAATGAGAGTGTGCTTACACAAACTGAGATTGCTGCAGGAAGCAGTGCTAAATCTTTCTTTCCTGCTTGTCTGAAATCTGAGAAAGAGATTTGGATTGTATTATATATTGTCTAATGGTTTTATTGCACTTGATAAATGGTCTGGCTGCTAAATACACTTAGCTGGAGACCAGGGGTCCAACTGGAGTTATGTCTTCTGTCTTGGAACAAGGAAACACAAGCTTGGAAGTGATGGGGAGAAGGGGAAGGGGCATCGTATTGGTGTAATTAGAAGGCACTGCTGTATTTGCTGTCTGTTCTTGTTTCTTAAAGCCAAAACCCTGCCAGTACTGCAACATTATAGCAGCATTTATTGGAAACAAGTGCCAGCGATGCACAAACTCAGAGAAGAAGTATGGACCTCCACACTCCTGTGAGCAGTGCAAGCAGCAGTGTGCCTTTGACAGGAAGGATGACAGAAAAAAGGTCAGTATCTCTGTGAAAGGAGGCCAGAAAGGTAAAAGGGCTGATCACAGTGGTTGTCTGTCCACCCCTTCAGTTCCTTCAGTATTTGTGACATAGCCTGAAGGAGCTGGAAGTGTCATACCTCCACCAGGAAACACATTCCATGCTTCTGCCACCCTTAGCTTAAACAACACAAGTGCTCCTTAGGAGGCGTGTGTCTGAGGCCTGGTTCCTGCAGGCTGTCACCATCCGTTGGGCATTTGGGATAATGCACTGATAATCCCTGTCCTCCGGCCGATCCTCCTCAAGCAGAGACCCGTGGTGAGCACCCTGCCACACACTGTTCCTTGGCATTGCTTTGCCAGACAGCCCACTTGAGTTAGCCTGTCCTGGTGAACGGGTGCTGTTACATGGGCTGGAAGAGACCATAGTTAGAATAGAGAAGCTGCTCTCAATGAATCCTGTCTGCATTGCACCAGCCATGCCAAAGGCACTTCTAACCCTTTCCAGGCACTCAGGGGATGCTTCTCAAGTCACTGCTTGTTCATACGTGATTTTAAACCTGAAGTTGCTTCTTGCCTTCACTCTGTTTGGTTTGTGGGCTGAAAACAGGACCCCCTCCATCTCCCGCTCTCTTTTCCTCTCACTTTCCAGGTGGATGGGAAGCTGCTGTGCTGGTTGTGCACGCTGTCCTACAAACGGGTCCTGCAGAAGACCAAAGAGCAGTGCAAACACCTGAGCAGCTCCTCCCGAGCAAGCCTCCAAGAGAAGGAACAGTACAGTAGGCTCAGCAGTGGCAGCCACTACAACAGGTAACCTGCAGGAGCTTTTGATGTGCAGAGTGAGCAAACGGGGGGCTTGGCTGCTCCATGCTCCTTGGATGCACATCCTAAAGGAATTGGGAGAAGCACCCACCCTCAGTGATGGGTTTGGGGCTGTTGTTCAGGAGACTCTGGCTAAGTGAGGCTTTGCTAGTTTGCAAAGCCCACTGTGCTGGAGTAGACTTGTAGGCCAACAGTGCTGCAACTTAGTGAACTTGCACACAATTCAAGTTCAATTGTATCTGTGGAATTCCATGATTTGAAATGGAGATTTGGAGCAGGAGTTCTTCACCTACGTACTGCTCTGACTGACGCAGTGGTGCCTGCTTATTTTTAGTCTCCAGCTAGTCTTCAAGCAACGCATTTTTTCTCATTCTTGTGCTAGAAAATACTGGTTTAATGGGTTCATGGTGGGTGGGAATATTTCTCTGCTTTTCTGTCTTTGACTGCAAGTCATTCAGGTGCTGACATCCAATTTCCTCATCTTTTTTCCAGCCAGAAAACCTTATCCACCTCTTCTATTCAGAATGAAATCCCAAAGAAGAAAGCCAAGTTTGATGCCATATCTGCCAATGGTGACAGGTGAGCCTGGTACATGGGGAAATTGGGGGTGGGCTGTCTTGTTTGCTGAGTTTTATGAGAGACAGTTCTGTGTGCATAGCAGGAAGCTCCCGTGCTCAAGCTCTTGAGCTATGGGACATCGAGGGGCTGCTTTAGCAGCTTTCCAGAACCTGGCAGCCCAGTGTTCCTTGGCATTTAGACATAGGTTTGAAGAGGAAGAGAATACCTAGTGCCTGGACCTGCTAGAATAGAACCTGCTCGGTGGCTGAGCTCCCTGCAGCCAGATCAGCTCCAGCCTCTCTCTGCAGTTAGAGGGAGAGGGGTGCTCTTGGCTACACTGTGGACTTGAGCTCTGCAGGCTTTTTGGGGCTGTCAGACTGATCTGCAGGGAGGAGAGGATGGAGACTCGCCTCCTGTGTCCCCCCTCTGCTTTCTGGGGGAGGGCCAAGCAAGAAGCTTTGCTGGAAAGCATCAGATCCCATCCTGATGTCAGTTTGTGCTGGATTATGTTGACGCCGGCTGCGTGTGCAGCAGGATGGGAGTCCCTAGCAGAAACAGGAGATTGAGATGGGTTTTGATTTACTATTTATGGTCTTGTACATGCAGATTTTCATTCCTGCCTTTCCTCTCTGATTCTCAGCGTTCCTTCCTCTCCTGAGATGCTTTGTCCCCCTATCCAGAGTGCCCCGTCCACGCTGGCGCCGTGGGCTGCTTCCCAACAGAGTCTCGGTGCCCACCATTGTCCTGTTTCTCAAGGCACTGACATCCTGAAGTGAGATCACGAGTTGTTTTCTCCCCTCTTGCCCTCCCTCCTTCCCTGGGAACTGTCTCATCCATGGAAACTGTCCCTCTTGATGGATCTCTGTCCCAACAGCAGTGAACTGGGAGCACAGAGCATAGGCTCTTTAGCACCAAAGGGTCTGTTAAAGCCACCGGTAATGAATGAATTACTGCCTGCCTTGAATGCCTTCTCTTTGAGATCACAGATTGCATCTGTCCTATAGATACTACTGACACCTTGTCAGTGTTTGTTCATGTTTGAAATGCTACAATGGGAAGTAGACCTCATTTGAATTCAGTGCTGGTGGAGCCAGAGGAGAGACTGGAGCCAAGCCCCTGGTAGAACTCATGCAGCCTATTAGTATTGCTGCAGCTTTCCCTCTTGAGAGGCTCCTGCTCACCTCCTGAGGCTGCTGTCTGGGCTGCAGGACAGCACCAGCTATTTCTATCTGCTCACTAAAGCCTGGGCTAACAACTCATTGTAACAGCCCATTTGTATAATACCCTGTTGAAAATAGCCAAGAAGCAAAAGGTCCCCTCCTCTGGCATCAATTGCTCATTTGTTTGCAAACCAGGAGCCTGTATGAGAGGAATCAAACACCTTCCTTTGCTCTTGTGTGAGATGTTGTAAGCCTGGCTCCTGCTGAGGCTCTGCTCCTTGCCACACACTCTGTTTGCTGACTCCCAGTAACAAACTGTGGGTAATTTTAGCAACTACTGAAGAGCTCCAGCAACGTGCTGTAGGAAAGGCAAGCTGTAGCTGCCTCAAATAGACACAGGGCTCTGCTTCTGGAGTGGAATAAGAAGGGTGGTTCATTAAGTGGGGTTTTGGAGTTGCTGGGTTGTGAGCTTGACGCCCCCCAAACATCTTTCCTCTTGCCCCATTATCTAGAAGATTGTCCTCCCCAGAGTCAGTCTCGTGTCCGGGTCGCATCCTGTGTGTGGAGTTAGGGTCTGCTGCAGCACAGCACAGCCTGAAGTGGGGCGAGACACAACCAGCACCTCTTCACTGCTGACATCAGCTGCAGCTTCTGTACAGCATGCCTTGGCTCCAGCCAAACTTCCAAAGCAGCTTGGACACAGGGCTTGGAGCAACCTGCTCTAGTGGAAGGTGTCCCTGCCCATGGCAGGGGTTGGAACTGGGTGAGCTTTAAGGTCCCTTCCAACCCAACCCATTCCATGATGGAATGATGGTGTTGAATGGTTCATTCTGGGTGAGCACTGGGAATAGCTGACAGCACTGGCCCTGCTGCACACGGAGTAGTTTTTGGGGGTGGTAGAGGAGGAGGAAGTTGAGGTGCTGGTTCCTGCTGGCCTGGATGGATTCTTTCCTAAGGCGAAGCTCGGCTCCTGGTTCGGTCAGCCCGGTCTCTGCCTGACTTGAATAGCAAAGTCTTTAAGCTTGGTGTTTGTTTGGCATAATTGCAGCCATTTAACTGTGTGGAGTTGAAGGCAGTCATTTGGTTTCTTTTCTGCTCAGCAGAGAGAGGCAGGTGTCTTTGGAATGGCTCCAGTTTTCCCACTGCCTCCACTGAAAGCAACGGGAGCTCATCCATGCGCTTCAGAGACGTGCATTTTATCCTGCTCAGACATTGAGAGCACGTGGCCCCCTGACCTATCCCAAGGGGCTGTGCTCACATATGTGACAGGAGAGGATGCTGCCTGGGCACCCTGAGCCTCCTGTCACCCACTCTGGGTGCAGACCTGCAGGAGGAGGCCCTGGAAGCCCCAGCAGCAGGTACCAGCTCTGCCCGCAGCTCCTGAGTGCTGGTGACCCTCCTGTCCATTCTCCCCGCTGGGTGGCAGGGCTGGCTCTCACCTTCCCTGCTCCACAGGGAGCTCCGCAACAGGAGCTGCCAAGGAGACAATTTTTCCTGCTGGAGCTGCTCAGGGAAGTGGGAGCATCTCCCGGCACTCTGTCACCCCAGGACACGCAGGAGGGAAGCTTGCCTGGGTGTCAGCAAGAGGGGATCAGTGAGGAAGCTTTCTCTCTGTGGAGGCCGGGGTTTTAATCTATCTTTTCTTTCTCTCCTCCTCAGCATATTTGCAGTGAGTGGGAAATTCAAGCTACTGTTAGTAACACACTTGCACGCAGGAAGGTGCTGGAGCACCCACCATCATTGTGCACAGCCTCCACTTAGGAAACTGTCCTCAGGAACAGTCTTAAAATGGAAGTGTTCTCTGCTAGTGTGTTTGTATGGACCTCTTCCGCACTTGGGAGCTGCCCAGGGTGACCAGCACAGTGCTGGATCCAGTGTACCCAGCGTGTTTTAACCATGCAAGGCTCTTCCTCTGGGGGCTGACTCCTACAGACCTTCAGTTCTGAGTTTGCCTTTGCCAGGCTTTCTCTCCCAGTGCCACAGGGCTCTCCTGTGACTTCCCCATGTGTGGTGCTGCCCCTGCTTAGCTTCCCTCTGGAGGTCCTCAGCACAGCGGTGGAAAGAGCCTTTTCTTCTGCCACCTCCTTGCTGATGAGTCCAATCAATGTGCTTCTAATTAGAGAATGGATGATTTCCAGGCACTGGAGGAAAGTGCTGTGGGAGGTGAGCAGCTGGTCCCCTCTGCCTGGGGGGCCACATGGAGACTGGAGGCCTGGAGGTGGCAGTGATTCAGGTTCAGCCCATGCCTTCCCCAGTCCACTGCAGCTGTAGAGCTGAATGCAGGCTTTAGGACTTGTGTTGAGGCTTTAATAAGAGTCAGCCTTCAGGTAATCCTGGCTACTGATCTTTATAGCAGCAGCTCTGCCTGATAAGGGCCAGACTTGAAGCAATCTTCTAGGCGAAGCTTTGTTCTTTTATTGCTGTTACACTTTTATTCACCAGTTTCAGGTGTGTGTGGCTGGGAGGGTGCTGCCCTTTTAGCACCAGGAGATAAGAGCTGGCCTTACCATGACAGCAGTAGGGAACAAACAGCAGGTAAAGATCAGGTGAGCTCCCTGCGCCTGTGGCTGCAGCTTATCATATCTTATGATGTGAAATAGGGAACACTGCAAGACTCTGTGTGGCTGCCCAGGTCACTGGCTGCCTTGTAGGGAGCTGTAGGAATTACCAGCGCAGGTGAGTAGCTCATGTCCAGATAAGTTTTTAGCTGGTTGCTTAGGGTTAGAGTGCCTGATGGTGTACAAGTGGTGTGCTCAGCTATTTCTCTTCCTGGAGAGAGCCTTTCCTGCTCTGAACTGGGAATGCAGCTTCTTCCTCAATTGCTCTATCATGGTGGGCTCAAAATACACAAGTCTTTTTATCCCCTCTCCCTGCTGAGAACAGTGCTGCCTTTCATCTAGGTGTCTTCCTTTGCTGTGTTTGTTTAACTTGGAGGTTATTTCTCTTTCATGTTCTCTCCTCACCAGAGTATTTGTTTACACTCAGTGAGGTTTTGCTGCACATCCAAGAGCAAAGAGAGTTCCTCAGTGCTTGCATGAAGCTTCATGAGCTCTGTGATTGCTGTCCTCAACTCTTTGGTTTGAATAAGGATCTGGACTGTTGGAATGGTTGCTGCAGACACCATGTGGCTGATGGTCACCCATAGCAGTGCCGTGTCCCTGCTCATCATGCAACAACACAACTCCATATGTCACATGTAATCCCTATTCCTTGTCATACCATGTGTTCCTGTGGCATCCAGAGCAGGGATACAGGTACCACCTGCGTTCAAGGAGTGTTTGGAGGACACAACGTGTCATGAAATGATTCCTCTTCTCCTTCAGTGCCATCTCGGGTGGGTCCTCTGCCTTGGTGAAAAGAAGGGGTTGTGATGAGAGTCTTTCCCTGTTCTTGCAGTTTTTCTCCAGACCTTGCCCTGGACTCTCCTGGCACTGACCACTTTGTTATCATTGCCCAGCTGAAAGAGGAAGTGGCTACTTTAAAGAAGATGCTGCACCAGAAAGATCAGATGATTCTGGAGAAGGAGAAGAAGGTACAGCCCTTGGCTTGCTTCCCCCACAGCATGCTGACACCTTCACACAGCTCACACTCCAGTGGAGCCTGCCTTTTACTCCTGGGAATGAACAAGAGAGTTTCTGGCTGTTTCCAGGCTGCTTCCTCTTGAAAGAGGCTTTCTGAACCCACCCAGGAGCTCTCATTTCACACAGGGTCATTCCTGACCACTGTCCACGAGATCTCTGTGTGAGGGCAAGACTAATAGAAAGACCATCCTGTCTGCTCCTGCTTCTCCAGGATGATATGGTTCTGGTCTCATTGCACTCCCCCAGCATGTTGCTGAACTCAAGCCAGTCTCACACAGCTTCTGCAGGGTGCGTGAGGGGGGAAGGTGTTGATCTCTTCTTCCAGCTCACTTCCTGGTTTCTTTACAGATCACAGAGCTGAAAGCTGACCTGCAGTACCAGGAGTCGCAGATGAGGGCAAAGATGAACCAAATGGAGAAGACACACAAGGAGGTCATGGAGCAGTTACAGGTGACAGCTTTTTTTGTTCTTATTTGCTGAGCTATGCTGGACCCAGGGGTGACTGAGAACAGTCACTTGTGAGGTGCTGCACACACAGCTCTGTTAATGCTTCTCAGCCCTGTCCTACAGCCTCTCTGTTCTGCCAGTTCCAGACCAGGCTGCAGTGCATTGTAACCCCTATTTATATTCTCCTTGCTGCTCTCTCCTCTTACTCTGTTGTAAAGTGCTATGTCGTTTGAGGGGAACCATCAAACTCATTTTAGCTACTGCCAAAATCAGGTTTGAACCTGTTTCTCCAGACTGTAGAACCTTTGTCTGCCCCCTCACCATGTAGCTCTTAATGTGATTTATGGGACCAGTAACCAGAGAGAACAAAAGCTCAAGAAACAACTGGCAGTTCCTTTAGCATTAGATCTCTGTAGTCCAAATCAAGAAGTCCCTGAGCTTTGGGGGAACAGGGAGAGCAGGATTCTTGTCATGGCCATGGAAGCACTAGGCAGACAATCAGCATGAATACCCTGTGAGCCACCAAAGAGAGCAGGTCAAAGGGGAGCTGGTTACAGGGAAGAAATCAGACAGAGAAACGAACTTTGCACCTTTTAATTACTCTGGGGTATGGAATGATCTAAAGCCCTAACAATGAGAAACAGGAGGGGCTAAGACAAGGCTTATATTCCCCCTGAGAAAACAGCCCCTGCTCCAGCAGCACACACCCAAGTCCATGACCAGAGTGGAAGACAGGTTCTGTGTGTGTGTGTGTGTAGTGTGCAGAGGACTGGATGTGCTTCCTGCTCCTCGTGAGCACAGCTGGGTTGTGTTTGAGGGGCTGAGGACAGAGCCACTGATCCCTGCTCTGCTTTAGTGATCCTGCGCTGCCTGTGGCAGCCCCGAGCTGTCTCTCCCTTACAGTTTTGGGTGTCCTGCCAAGGAGTTGGTGTTTGCACTCCAGTTTGGAATAGACATTTTGCCATTAGCACAGATCTCTACTGTTTGCTTGCCTTGGGCAGGAGGTCAAGGGCTAAGAGGGAGATGAGCCCTCCTTGCAGTGCTTTCCCAAGGCAGGGCATGCTGGTTGCTCGGTGTACACCCTGCCACTGCCTTTGCCATAGCTTCTGGAGGACGTCTGCCTTGAAAAGCTGTCAGACACCTTCCAACAGCCTTAAACTTGCTCAGTTCTGAAAAGAAAGAGGAAACAACAGCTCCACGAGCAGCCCACAACCTCCTGGGTGCAGAGAGGTTTGCATGTCTGTGCTGCACTTAGCTTGGAGCAGGCCTGCCTGGAACACATTCGCTTGGTGTCCCAATATTTTCCTTCAGCTGGTGTTGATTGAGCCTCTGGAAACTTTTCTTCACTGATGCCAAATAAAAGTTCAAATCCTCTCGGTGTACTGGAGGTGCCTTGAAGTGTTCCTATGATTCACTGTTTGAACATCCTCTTGCTTTGTCTTTCCATGGGGGGAAGCAGGAGTGCCTGTATGCCTCCAGTCTGCAGGAGGCAAAAGAAGCTGCTTTACTGCATGCAGCACTGGAGCAGATGGTTTGATTCCTCTCATAAATCTTCACATAGTCATCCATTCATTGGGAACTAATGCAGAGGACCTGAATCTGGCTTCACACAGGTTTTACCCCTTCCCCTCCAGCTGAAGCATGATGTATCATAGGCTACAAGATTATTTATTTCCTAGAGTTAGAGTGAGCTCCAAAGTTTGGTAAAAGGGGCTGGAGAGCCTTGTTTGTAAGTTGTTCTGAGTTTTAATTAGGTGCAAACCAGAGTAAGTTGCTACATGGAGGTGCTCTGATGGGTTTGGAAAGCTAGGAGGGATGTAGGGCTACCACTTCTTGCTTACAGCAGTGGGACAGGAGGGGAAAGGGCTGAAGAGCCTTTTCTATGTGGTTTAGAGATGAGATGCCAGACTCGAGCTCATGCTGTGGTGCCACAGAGCCACATCCACCTCCTTTTTCATCTGCCTGCTTGAAGCCAGCAGCTTCTGGCCAGCCAATTCTAGGAGCCCAAGAACTAATGATGATCCATTAAATGCCCATTTTCACTGTGTTTCCAGGCCAAGAACAGAGAACTCCTGAAGCAAGCAGCTGCCCTATCAAAGGGCAAAAAGCCTGAGAAGTCGGGAGCAATAACCTCCCCTTAGAACCAAACCCCCAGTGTGGGAGCTTACTCCAGCATTAGCCAAGGACTCTTGGAGACCTGCCTGATCGCTGGAAGCCAAAACCTCAGTGTGGTCACTCTCCCCCTGCTGTGGACTCGATGGAAACGCCTGGTGTGTGTGTTGCCTTTCAACAGCATCTTGAGCATGGCTGGTTCCCATCCATCTCTGTTGAATACCAGTCTAGTACCACGGTGACCCATGGGGAGAGGTCCCAACCATCCTAAATCTCTCTCTCAGTTCCTACCACTGCCAACCCTTTCTGTTAGCAAAGAGGAACCTGCTGCATTAGAGACTTCTTGCTTGGTTCCCAACCTGCTGCTGTGAGGCAATAGCCATGGCCAGTCGGGAGCTGCGTGTGGTGGGAGCTTGGTTTCCCTTCAACTGTTCCCTCTTCAAAAGGAAGCTGATAAATCACCAGCCCAGCAGATGTTACTGGAAGGTTGTGCCACTGCTGAGAATGCTTGATCCAGCTTTTTTTGAAGATGCTCCCAAAATGGGGGCTTTGTATTTCTCTTGGAAGGGGGGGTTTGTTTTGTTTCTGGGGTTTTTCTTCTTTTCTATGTCAAACCAAACTGCCTGGGGTTGTGTTTTCTTGTTTTCTTACAATAGCTTTTGGGTTGGGAGCCAGAGTGTAAGGATACAGACCTCCCCTCCCCTCCCTCCTGGTGCCCTGGTCACTTGGTGACCTGTGGGGCTTTGATGACTTCTGCAGCTTGATGTGATCAAGCGTCTTTTACTCTGTTTTGTTACATCAGGAGCATTCAAGGCTTAGCTGTTCCCTCTGCTCCTCTGAGTCCCTGGGTTGAGCTCCTCAGTGCTCCCTTCCAGCTGCAGAAAGAGGGCTTGGGTTAGGAAAGTGCTTACTCGGACAGGGAGTGTTCCATGGGGCTCTCCAGGGCTGTTCCTCACTGCTGAGCAGAAACCAGTGGAATCAAAGGGCTATAAAAGCTCCCTGGACCAGGGACGTGCTTCTCGGAAACAGCCCAGAGACCACAGACCTTTCTGGGGTGGGCACTCCCCCTGCTCTGCCTCTTGGGGTGCTGCTCCCAGTGGGCAGGATTGCTCCTCAGCATCCCAGCTCCAGTCAGAGCATGAGGAGCCATGTGTGGGTCCAGAGCCTGGCAGAGAGGAGCAGTGGGAGATGGAACCATAGGTTGGTGCTGAAGGTGGATGGAGAGATGAGAAACCATCCCTTTTGAGGCAGGGCTCTTATGAAGCTCTTCACTCGAGCTTGTGATGATTTGGTTTTCCCTCCTAAAGATGACTTCTCTTCAAGGCACTTTTTGGGATGTTGTTGGCTCCCAGCATGGAAGGAGCACGCTGCCGGGTCACACCCGAGGCCATGGGGTTGGTTTGGGTTGTGTGGGTTTGTTTTCTAAAGAGACTTCTGAGGTGAAAACAAGAAGACAAAACTGAAGCTGTTGCCCTTTGCCAGCAGGGAAATAACCCCCCTGATTTTCTACTTCACACCTTCTTAGGAAATGAGGTGCATTGGTGGGGCTTTTTTTAACTGGGGGCTTTGCTTTTTCACCTCCCTCAGGATAAAGGAAGAGGGAGAAAGGCCCTGTTGTATATATGATGGGGGTTTTTTAACTGTGCTAAATGGATCATGCACTTGAGTAGCTGATGATTTGTAGTAAGAACATTGTTCCTTTGTATGTTTGTACTAATGGCAATTTTCAAAGGGATGCTTTGATTTGTACAAAACTCTTGGACAACTGTAAAAGTGTTTTAAAAAAGCCTCATCTGTGTCTGATACTTTCTCTTTACCTGCAAGAAAACCAAAGCAAAGCACCTTCCCCTGCCCAGAACTGCTTTATCTCCTGCTGGTTGAAGCACCCATAGTGTTGCTTTGGGGGCTGATGCGTTTGGGAATGAGATGGTGGGTTTCTGTTGTTGGCTTCACTCCTGCTTTTATTTCTCTCTTTAAATCCTCCTGATGAAGGCTGTTGCTAGGCTCCTTGTTACTTGGTTACATCCAGCTTCCCAGGACCCGTCCAGCTGCATCCCACGGGATCTAGGCTTTATTTTCTTCTCCAGGAATGAAGGCAGAGCACGGAAACAAAAAGGCAGGAGGAGAAGGGGGGTCATTTTTAAGCTCCAGATGCAAAGGAGGTGAGTAGACACCGTGTGAAGTCTTCCCCTTATCTCAGCCCCAACTCTGGAGGAAAACCAGGTTTTTGGGGTTTGGTTTTTAAAGCTTCTCATTTCCCAACAGAAATCTGGGAGTGAAAACCTCCCGGAGAGTTCCATTTGGGAATGTCCCTGTCCTGTGGGAGCTGCACCTCAGCATTTAGTGCCTGTTCACACCACGCTTTCCTTGCACCAGGCAAAGACCTGCTGCGTCCTTGAACATCTGCTCCCTGTGGTGCAGGGTAGGAAAAGGCAAATCCCAGCTGCTCCTGCTGCCTCCCATTGTTTCTGCAGCTCAGGGTGGTGCCTTCTACAAGTACCAAAACCCTGAGCAAGTGCCCTCAGTCTGGGCAGAACCCGCTGGGGATACACAGAGGGTGCCAAACCACCGCGGTGCCTCCAGTGTGTCCTTCACAGCGGGTCACTGAGCTGAGCATGACATCTGCAGCCTTCAGCAGCTCCTCATCCATCCTCTTCGTCCTCAGGCTGGTTTTCGGGTGCCTGGATGACAAGCTGTCAGGATGCCCCTTCAGAAGGTGAGCTGGCACCTTCCTGCTGCTGCCTGAGCGTGCCAGTGGTGCTCGGCGCTTACAGGGTGCTTTATCTCTGCTGAGCACAGCGTTGGGAATGGGCCCAATTATCCTGCTTTACAGCAGGGCAGGAGGCAGATGAGAGCTGATCTGTCAAAGGCTGGGCTCCGACTCGGTGGGGAGAGCTGGAGCCAGCCAAAGAACCTCATGCTCCACCTCTGGTGCCTCTGAGGGGCTCCTCAGTGTCTGCCCTGTGGAGCTGAAGGGAGATTTCCATTGGATTCAGGCAATTGCTGCTCTTCCCAGCCAGGCCTTGGGTAAGAAATGGCTGGCTCCTGCCCTTACCCACTGGCCCTCTGGTTCATCCAGTGCTTGCAGAAGGATATACAGATATATTTAATTACTTTTGGGTTGTGATTGCTTTATTGCTGTGTCAGAGCTTTGGGAAAACACGGTTTTAACAGTAACTGAGCACACCTAAATCGGACATACTGATCTCAGGCAGTTGCTAGTAACCAAATCCAGGTTAAAAGTGAGTTCAGGTTTTTTGCCCATTCCACTCATTTCAGGCGAGCTGATGGTTGGCTACCCCTTGCCTGAAGCTCAGTGTTTCTGGAGCTGGGGAGCTGAAGGTGCTTGGGTTTGCAAAGCACTTCCTAACCAAGAGGATTAGAGTTTAACCTGTTTTGTCTGAAGTAATTACTTGACTAAATATCTCCTTTACAATCTTGCAGGGCCCCTGGCAAGGATCTGAAACTCTTTGGCAGCCTAATAGCATGTACCTGCAGCAGAACTAAACCTGCTGAAGCAGAAGTCAACTGACTTAACCAGCCTGGTAATTACCCAGCACCACACTCCCTTCCATTCCTCCCTCATTGCTGGCCTTTTCTGGGAGCACTGACTCAGGCAGCACGCCCTGACTTTAAAATGGGCTTTAAAGAACCCCAACACTAAGGATCTTAAAAGCCTTTCAAGCTGTAGTAAGTGGTGTGTTGTAGCTGAGCCAGGAGAGGAGAGCAGCGGCCTGGAGAGCACCAGGCTTGGTCTGGAGATGAAGGGAACAAACTGGCAATGAGACCTGCTCCTTTGGGGTTGAGATTTCCCCTTTTTCACAAGATTTCCATGAAGAAAACTCAGCTGCCTTTTGTCTTCTTCCAAAGGGAATCTCCAGAGGTCCAGGAGTCCAAAGGTGTTTTGGCTGTAATCCTTGTCCTTACCAGTCCCGGCCCAGGTCCACTGTGTCCAGTCCCTGCTCCCAGAGCACACGGGGATAGCAGCTCCCTCCTGCTGCTATTCCCAGAGCTTCCAGAGCAGTGAGGATCACAAACCAGTACGAACCATTGTTTCTAATGTATTTATGCTGCAGAAGACACGTCCGTCTGCCTTTGGTGTAGAAACACCAATGGAGCAGGATGCTCCTGTTGGCCTCGGAGGTGCTGCAGTGCCAGGGACCATGTTGGGGGTGACCTCCATGGCTCCAGATGGGGCAGCTGCAGAGGAATCAGTCCCCTTCTCCTCCTCACAAATGGGCTGGGCTTCCTACTTCCAGCTCCCCAGGCTTGGTGCTGGTGGGTTTTCCCAGTGGAGGCTGTTAGTGGGGAGGTGTGGGGTGACCAGCCATGGTGGTGATCCAGCTCTTCCTACAGGAGCAGGGCATGTGAGGAAGGAAAACACTTAATGGTGTGTTATCCCTATGGAGAGTCCCTGCGTGGTCTCTGCTGCTTCTCTTTGTCCTCAGAGTCCAGGCTGGCCAAACTCACCAACTTGCTGAAGTCCCAAACAGCACCAGTTGCCCCCAGCCAACCTTGCTGTTTGCTCTGAGGTGACTTACCTTGAGCAATAGGCATTGCCTCCCTGCTCAGTTCCTTGCAGCTCTTCAACTCAAGCAAGACTTGTCCAGTCAGCGTCTCGAGCACTGGAGCACTCTCAATCCCTGAGGAATTGCTGACCTGTCACTTGTTTCCCATGATTGGTGGTTCTGGGAAGAGGGTGGTTGGGTTCAGCTTTCAGGTTCCTCTCTCGAGGAAATGTTGCCTCTCCTTCGTCACCCTTTTTCCAAGGAATATCGCATTGATCCTCGCTGGAATGCTGCTGTGTGTCCAGAATCAACCAGCACGGAGAAACCCTCCTCCAGTTGTATTTCCTTGAGGAGCCAGTGGGCACCGGAGCTGGTGCAGGGCCTGGAGCACAAGTGTGATGGGGAAGGGCTGAGGGACCTGGGGGGTTTAGTGTGGAGAAGAGAAGGCTCAGGGGGTACCTTATCGCTCTCTGCAACTGCCTGACAGGAGGATGGAGCCAGGAGGG